CCCAGCATGTGCTGAGTTGACGTGTCCCTTTCTCGGGCCACCCCCCCGGACCCCCTAACTACTCACTTCGTTCGCCAGACACAACTCCGCTAGCGCCTTCTACGAAGGCTGGCTTTCGTAAAGTTGACCTCACTGTTTGCATAGTGCACGTACCCAATTCGGAAATGAACTTGTAAGCACGATATTTAAACTACTAGGAACAATAAGCTACTAGGGGCTCCTGGCCTGACTACTAGGAGTAAGAAGCTACTAGGCGCTCCTGGCTTTACTACTAGGAGCAAGAAGCTACTAGGGGCTCCTGGCCCCACCACCAGCAACAAGAAACTACTAGGGGCTCCTGGCCTGACTACTAGGAGCAAGAAGCTACTAGGCGCTCCTGGCTTTACTATTAGGAGCAAGAAGCTACTGGGGCTCCTGGCCCCACCACCAGCAACAAGAAACTACCAGGGGCTCCTGGCCTTACTACTAGGAGCAAGAAGCTACTCCTGGCCTTACTACTAGGAACAAGAAGCTACTAGGGGCTGCTGGCCCTACTACTAGGAGCAAGAAGCTGCTAGGGCCCCTATCCTTACTACGACCAAGAAGCTACTAGGGGCTGCTGGCCTTACTACTAGGAGCAAGAAGCTACTAGGGCCCCTATCCTTACTACTACGACTAAGAAGCTACTAGGGGCTCCTGACATTACTACTAGGAGCAAGAAGCTACTAGGGGCTCCTGGCCTGACTACTAGGAGCAAGAAGTTACTGGCCCTACTACTAGGAGCGAAAATCTACTAGGGGCTCCTAACCTTACTACTAGCAGCAAAAAAGCTACTAGAGGCCCCTGGCCTTACTACTAGGAAGAAGAAGAAGCTACTAGGGGCTCTTGGCCTTGCTAGTAGGAAGGAGCAAAAGCTACTAGGGCTCCTGGCCTTACCACCAGGAGGAAGAAGCTATTAGGTGCTCCTGAAGCTAGTAGGGCCCCTGGCCTTACTAGGAGCAAGAAGCTACCAGCCGCTCCTGACCTTACTACTACGCGCAAGAAGAGGAGCAAGACACTACTGGGGGCTTCTGGCCTTACTACCAGGCGCATGAATCTGGCCTTGCTACTAAGAACAAAAGGGTACTAGGGGCCCTTGGCCTTACTACTAGGAGGCGTTATTACTCGGAGCAAGAAGCTACTAGGGGCGCCTGGCCTTACTACTCGGAGCACTTGGCATGGGAAGCTTACCTGGTTGAGGTCCAGGCGGGTTGGTGTGCAGCTGGATTCAGCAACAGCTTCAGATCAAGTTGATGGCACATCTGTAGAGGTCGGGCACTCTGGTCAGGTCATCCCCTCCCTTCCTCCTCAGTGTTGTGAGATTCTAGCAATTGACCACCGTGTACTATAGCGGCCAAGGCATAGAACTATGTTCCATGATAGGCTCGGAGCCAGTGTGCCAGAGCTTGTTTATGGCCGGCTTACCTTGCCCGCGCGAGATCAACCTCCATTGAGCAACTTTGGCTCCTCTGCTAGCCTCAAATTGTTCCAGTTGTCTGGCCTGTTTGCCACATTGTTTCAACTGCAGACAACTTCATCCTGAAAGTTTCTCCCACCCCAGCCGCGCCTGCAATTCGGCGATCCGGCTTCCTGGAAAAGACCGCCGGGAAGTTCTCTTCGAGCGAGGCTTTTACACCACGCTAGAATCTGCTGTGGCAGTTGCCATGGACCTTCGTTACAAGGTCCCTTTTTGGTAAGCAGAACTGGCGATGGGGGATGAACCTAACGTTGGGCTAAGGTGTTTAACTGCACGCTCATCAGATACAGGCTCAGATTCCGCCAGGCTTTGCCATGTTTGCAACACCTTCTCAGCATGACCCTGGCGGCCGAGACACCGCAAAAACCACCACATATTTTCAGTGCCGCTGAGACGTTCCAAACACGTTCAATTTGATCAGGCGGGCTGGCTTGGAGCTGGATTCGGCAACAGCTTCAGATCAACCTGATAGTTGAATCGCGCGTAGAGGTCGCACACTCTGGTCATTGCTCGTAGGAGCAAGAAGCTCTAGGGGCTCCTGGCCTTGCTACTAGGAGCAAGAAGCTACTAGGGGCTCCTATTCTTGCTACTATGACCAAGAAGCTACTAGGGGCTCCTGGCCTTACTACTAGGAGCAAAAAGCTACTAGGGGCTCCTGGCCTTACTACGGGGCTCCTGGCATCGCTACTAGGAGCAAGAAGAATACACAAAAACAATTCTCGCAGCTCAACTGTTTGGTGATGATCATTCATGGAGGACATCATGGTTCGAACTGTTTCCATATCCAATTTGAAGAAGAAACACATCACCATGTCGTTGGGTTTGACATTTCCCTCAACCGGGCCAGGAGATCTCCCTCTTCAACTAGACACCCAAGCCTTTGTCAATCAGTCCAAGCCAGCCTTCCAGGTCTTTCGTCGCGCCGAAACGAAACGCCGACACCTAGCTCGCGGAAGCGCGGTCGGACGGCCCAAACGGTCGCGTCGCGTCGCTCGGTCGGAGGGAACTCGTGGGCCCAAGGAACCACGATGAGTGCCAGGACCTCCGTGGCCAGACTGCCAAGGGTGTCCTGTGATGCGGAGTGGGCACCCTATGGTCTACCCTGTGCCAACAATTGGCCTGTTGCACAGAGCGTCGAGTCAACACAGAAGCTATAGGAGTTAGGAGTTTGAGATGGTTTCTGC